TAAACTTTCGGCTTAGTGTGTCATATATAAAAGTTGATGCATTTTGCTACTTGGATTTAGTTGTGGATATGCAATGCGATATTTCTATTATGCTACCTCTCTTTTACATTTTTCTCATTACATAAGGGGACGATCATTTGATAATCGGAGAGGGGCTTGAGGAATTGTTGTGGGTTGACTATTCATTTTCATCTGTTGCTACACATGCTTATTTTTTCAGTGGTTTCGCCGCGCGAAAATTTATTTTCACTTAAAAACACAGCTGTTTCCTGCATTTTGCGTTGAATGGGGGAAATGCGATGAACGTTTTTTTGGCAGACAGGATATTCATTTTCACCTTTTGCTCAGCCAGCTTATTTATTTTCGTATTTTTTATTTGGCAGAATATTTATTTTCAGTCCTAACAATGCCAGGATACTCATTTCAGACTTCCCCGAAAATCAGGTGGTTGTCCTCTAAGTAATTATCGTTCGACTCCAAATCTAATTGACAAGGATTACAGTTTTTCCGGTCGAATGAAAGTGGTTCTCTTCGGCTACCTCCGCCAAGAAAAACTGGCCGCAATGATAAAGGCAATGTCGCTAAAGATTGTGTTAAACACCAACAAACACACAAAACTTTAATAAGACAGTTTAAAATATCATTCTGCGAGATTTCAATGTGCCAAAATGAAAATATTTGTTTTGTTACAAGAGCTGTATATATGCATCGAAGCAGAATATTGTAATTCCTGTATAAAGAACACAACACAGATCATGAGATCATATTTATAAAGACTATTTCTGTCTTGAGTTTCAGAATGAATGAAGACACACAGTTGTAAAACCAGGAAAGAATAGAAAGGGTTTAGATATTAATCAACCTACATTTCTTAATTAGATTATCTTCATGATTAAGAATCATCGAAACTAATTGTTTCTTCAAAGAAAAGGGATAACCGTACAACTAAACTAATTTTGAACTAAATGAATGTAGAACTTTAATATCTTAGTTAACCTCTCTGCGGACAAGCATGTCCTTCGTCGGCATACATGACTGCCAACATTAATAGAACTGCACAAAGGTCAAATGACACAAGCATTTAAGTTTTCAATTATTTGATATGTATCCTAAGGGAGAAAACCAACAATTCGTATCCATGAGGGAGCAAGTAAATCGTTCGTATTCACGAAGGAGTAAGCCAATCATCGTCGTCGCTTTGCAATACATTGACAGAAATATGTTAAAAAACCCGGACGAAATAACATTAAAACAGACATTCCCAGAAGTATTTTCATTACAGTAATTGTTTAATAAACTCACTACGTCAATTGATAGAAGGGTTAGATTCAGTTCAGATGACAGTCTTCTAGAAAATCGTGATCCACTTGCAAATTATGATTTTATCTAATAATAAACACGGATGAACATTTGGAATGTCACTGTGCGAATTGTTACCAGTCGTCCTTCATCTAAAACTAAATTATTAAGATAATTACGGTATAATTCCCTTACATATTAGTGTCTGTAATCAATACAAAGTTTAATCAACACTTCGTGTTGCTGATTCCTGATGTTCATCAATGAAGATATGAAAGACATACCTATAGAAGTAGCGTGATGATAGAGAATATATTGTTAGCGGAGATTTCACTTACAAACGGAACTATCAGGTTCAGATGATATTTGTATAGCTTTTATATGATTGGCACGGACGCATTTAATAAGTGTTTGTCATATAGAATTAAGTTTAGCAATCTGTATCATGCGATCTCAATAGAAGATCGTTTTCGTGACATCAAAAATGAATACTAAAAAAATAATTGACATTTTGATATTTTGTGTTCTGTGAAAAAATAACACGTTATCTTCAAAATAATGACACATCAATTAGAAAAAAAACTCACTATTGTGCTTTGGTAAATTCTTAGTTTTAAAGGAAATCATTCCGAAAACTGAAAAAAAAGAACCATGTCATTAAATAATGAAAATTCTCTAAAAGTTTCCTTGCAATCCATTCATGTCAGTGCTTTCGAGGAAGTTTCCGTCCCAAAATCAATTGGAAGACAACAGAAGATGCAGTAACCCAGATTTAGTTAATAGGCACATTAATGGTACCCGGCTGTAAAGACGTGTAAACAACATAGTTTTTTTGAAATATTTTTGGTTGGTTTAAAACACATTATGTTCAGTTTTGAAATACATTTGTGCAGATTTTAGACGTATAAAAGATCTCTCTCTCTCTCTCTCTCTCTCTCTCTCTCTCTCTCTCTCTCTCTCTCATATACAACTGTTAGATAACGACTATACACTGTGTATTGGAATGATATTTTAACCTTTAGGAATATCACAGTATGGGTAAAATATATATTTTTTATTCATTTATGAATAACTGCTGTGTGTAGTAAATATAATTTTGAAACACCTGAAAATATTTTCTTGAGAATTGAGAAAGGCTTCAAAATTTTCATTAATTTGATGTTAAATGACATGGATACTATAATACAGTTCGATATGAAGATGGCCATTCCACCATCTGACTACAATTTCTAAAACAGAATAAAAAAGTACTAATATCGCACATATTTTTTTTTATTATTTCTAGAATGTCACCTTCAAACATGGAAATTTAGAGTGAATGATTTAAGTTAACAATGTTCAAGGACATGAATACACTCCTTCATGTCGTTGACAGTTTTAAGTATTATCTCTTGAGCGTTTAGAAACTGTTTGTTACATTGAAATATAGTCAATGACAACAGCGTTTAAATTAGTTTAATTCAAACCAGTCGTGAATAATAATTCTTTAAACGTTCAATTACCAGTCAATGTGCCAAATGCAAGGAGACTGTAAACAACTTTGATGTAGCAATTGCCTTTCGCTTCAGTTTCGAAGCAACTTTAAAATTCAAAAACTATTAAAACGTTGTAGTTTTAGATTTTAATATTTATTTCGTTTTACGAAGAGTGGGAAAAGCAAAAAAATCCTTAAAAGGCGGCATGTCCATATAATGTTCCATCTAAATCCCGAACCTCAAGATGTCTTTTTTTCTCTCACAGTAAGCATTACTTTAGTGCCAAATAATCCCTATTATTTTTCCTTTTGATACTCAAAAAGTTGCACATGATTGACAATTACAACTTTGCAATGCACAAGGAAGAACTCGAGGTCAATATTTTTTTCTGAACTGCAACACTTTGGCGTTTTTTGCAGAAGTACACACACACATACTATCACGGACAGCTGAAGCTATACCTTTCAATTAATCATTTATGTAGTCTGAGTACACATTATTTGTTTGTTTAATGTTGTAAACTGACAAAATTTAATATGAAAATTTTCCTACAGTAAGAAAATACGGATTGCGCGTGTGGTATTTTAGATATTCAAAAAAATGTCATATTTGTTTTACTAACTGTTAAAACTTCAATTTGTATACAACTCACCGTGAACTTGTTTGAGTTTGTTTTAACACTGATATATATATTGTATATTGCGAAATATGATCTTAAATAACTTGAGAGAAGCAAGGCAGCCTGGACGGTCAACATAATGTTCTTGTAATATCTAGAAATTGGAGGATGTCGTTCTATCTTTATGATCTTTATTCTATCTTTAGTTATTAATAAGACTGTTTATCCAGTCGTTTTCATTTGGCGTTACACACCAAAACCCTTTTTATTTAAGAGGAACTGCATTCAAAAACCATTGTGGACTGGGGAGCGTTTTCCCGACTGGCGTACAGATACCTTGTATTTGGGTGTTGGGTATGGGACATAACAGATCTAAACAGGCTTCCTGTTATCATCTAGTACTACGTCTGCGACTCATGGACCAGTATAACATCAACGTGGTCAACGGGCTAAAACCAAAATAGCCGCCTCCTGCTTGACCATTTTTTCGACAACAAAAACATATCTAAATGCTCATAAAGCGCCCTCAGGGTACCGAGCCGATCGTGCGAGGGCTTTATAGCCAGTCAATGTCGTTAAACACTTCCGTAGTGGTAAGTCCGTCAGTATACTTGAAATAGCTTCTCTGAATAATTTGGATTAACTTCTTGTGAATTTTATGAAATCAATAATTGATTTGTTAACCGGAATAAGCTTTTTGTTGTTATATTTCTCCCTTTTTATGTTAAAAGAATCAGAAACTCTGCTGTCAGTGCAAACTATTATCCTCGTGACTGCCATTGATTTCCTTTATTTCAGATATGATATAACATGTATAAGAACATAATCTTTCAATGAAATTAGATTAAAATTAATAAGAGATACGAATATGCTTAAGTTTCATCAACAAGTATATATTTCTTTTACTTACAAAAAATGAAAACAACAAGTATAAATTTCATGCGTCCGAAGAGCTTTTTCTGGATTTGCTTTCCTCAGGAACGCTCAAAGCCGAATATTTGAAAGTCAAGGATGTAGAAGAACAGTCGAAGAGATATATGACCAAAAAGGGCATAATAAATTGTCAAATCCATCTAAGGTCAACTTTTGCAACACTAGAACTGCGATATATTGGAGTTTACCAAATTTATTTTTCTCCCGGTTTAAACTATTTTGCTTTTTTTTTTTTATTAAATTCAACAAAATGACATAAGTAGTAGAATTCTGTACAAATTTGTCACTGGATTTTTTTCTCAAATTGTTACTGTTTTCTAATAATTTTGATTTTACATGCAGTTTCTCCTTTGACTTTCCTAAATAGTGATCGCCATACGCTTGAGCCAGGTTATCGCACCTGAAGGGTACGAGGATAGTAAAATCATTGGACAGCGAAAACAATTAAATTACAAATAGCTTTTTCCTGATATTGTATTTATCGTTATGTTCCACGATGTAAAAGATACCGAACAATAAATAACTACTGTTGAAAACGAGATATTTTGATAGAAATTTTACAGCAACATTGTTTTGAAAATGTAACAGAAAAAAAGGGAATTGTAAATACGAAAATCAGAGCAGTTAAAATATAGAAACATTGGTAAAAAGTAAAATGAAATCATGAATTTTACCTCATGAAAACTATGACTCCTAATTTTCCCAAGTCATCCTTGATTAGATCCCACGTGTCCTGAATTTGGTGAATCTGATGTAGTGTTAAATACGTGCTCAGTTGTCCTCCTCTACCTCCGCCTCCATTTGGTACAGAGGGACAGTTCACAATATTATTTCCCATTTTAACAAATAAGTTAACATTATCTTATCGCTTCAAATATCCATTATCTATCACTTCTAATAAAACAGAAGTTTTCATTGACGGATTAGCTGTTTTTTCCATCCATAATTACAATGTTGTACGTTATCGTTGCAAATCAGATTCAAACAATGTTCAAGTTAACAGAACTCCTTGTTATTGGATAGTTGTCAAAGAATACCATGATTCGAGTGTTATATTTATATTATGTGAGTGATTTTGAAGCAACCAATAAACTGATGCGATTGTATTTGTTTGTATAGAATTTTATATGACAAATAAATAGAATGATCGTTTAGGAGCTGGGCTCTTAATTAACTTTTTATCCATTGATCATGTATTTATTTTATCTTATTGATAGAACTTGTCCTGCATAATAAAGAGAATAATTTTCCGCCATATAATTTTCTTATTAAATTCCGGATGAATGAAACAGAATTAATACATAAAACCAAAGTAATTTTTTACGTGTGCTACTGAGAGATTAATCAAACAGAAGTACTCTGACGAAAACATTAACCTGTTTTTATGTGGTAGCGTTCCCTTTATCTTTACAGATAATAAGATTAACAAATAAAAAGAGGCGGAAGATACCGACTCGAAACCCAGAAGTCAAAGAAAGAGCGAAAAAATCATATGGCAAAAATAAACAAAAAAACAAAAAAACAAAAGAAAAACGAATAAAAGACATACAACAGTCTGCAAAACACTACATATAAACAACTAAATAGCTTTCAGTAGCTTTCAGTAACTGCGAGTACAGTACTTATATAGCTTTCAGTAACTGCGAGTACAGTACTTAAATAGCTTTCAGTAACTGCGAGTACAGTACTTATATAGCTTTCAGTAACTGCGAGTACAGTACTTAAATAGCTTTCAGTAACTGCGAGTACAGTACTTAAATAGCTTTCAGTAACTGCGAGTACAGTACTTATATAGCTTTCAGTAACTGCGAGTACAGTACTTATATAGCTTTCAGTAACTGCGAGTACAGTACTTAAATAGCTTTCAGTAACTGCGAGTACAGTACTTATATAACTTTCAGTAACTGCGAGTACAGTACTTATATAGCTTTCAGTAACTGCCAGTACTCTTATTTCGGTGCTTGGTGTCTTTTGTTTTTATGCTACATGTAGTTGTTTTTGTTCCCTATACCGATATTTCGAGATAAGCCAATTGGTATTGATATTTATAGTTTGTTCCTAAGTTGTTCTGTTATACCGCGGACCAAGGTTTGGGGAGGGTCGAGCGCTCACACACATGTTTAACCCTCTACATTCTGTATGTGCCTGTCCCAAGTCAGAATGTTATACTGCTGACCAAGGTTTGGGGAGGGTCGAGCGCTCACACACATGTTTAACCCTCTACATTCTGTATGTGCCTGTTCCAAGTCAGAAGCCTATAGTTCAGTGGTTGTCGTTGGTTCGTGTCTGTTATATTTGTGTTTTTTTTTTGTAAATTGTTTTGTTATATATTAGGCCGTTAGTTTTCTTTTTTGAATTGCTTCACATTTTTCATATCGGGGCCTTTTAGTTATATAGCCGTACGGTTGCATATAATTGCTTACATCCACTTCATCTGAACTCTGGTGGATAGTTGTCTCATTAACAATCATACCACATCTCCTTATCTTTATATTAATAAAATAAGATAAGGAAAAGGAATTCGAAATGCAAAATTCTGCTGTCATCAATTTTGATCTAATGATAAGATGGTTTGTAAAGATTACATAATTTGAAGGAAATATCAAAACATTATTCACTGAAAGAGAGAAAGTATATATGCATGTGTAAAAATCTGAAATATTTAGTAACTGTGACAGTTCATTTATTTGTGAATGGTTTTATTTTAGTAATATGGTGGGAAAACTCCTTGCATAATGAGTTTTGCTATTTGCTTTTTTACGTCGATCAATGCAAGTCTTTCGAGGTTTTAAGTCTTGAAACCGGGAACGATCATTTGATACTCCAGGGAGGGGAAAAAGGGAGAAAGGAGGAGGGGGCAGGGGTTCGGACAGGCAGGAGTTTTTTCTGACGGAATATTTATTTTAGCAGCGCGAAATTTATTTTCCCTTTTTTACACACTTATATTGGGTGAAATATTCATTTGCATTATGTTTTGTTAAAGATTATTTATATTTAGTTCTAAACAAACCAGATTATTAATTTTTAAAAACATCCTAACCCTCTCCTCCATATCAAATGGTCGTCCCCTAAGTTATTTTTATCCGAATAACGGTATGTCGAACAAAAATACCATTTGCGAATTTACCATTATCTCTTTGAAACAACATAAAGTTCATATCATTTCTCTTTATAATAATTTTTCGTGAACTAAAATGAATCGATTTTATCGAAAGACATTTTTAAAGCTTTACTTACAACATTATTTTAGTTTTTTTAATAACGTATACTCAAAATATGTCAAAATTTGGGATTTGGGCTATCTTCATACACTTTTATGGCTCGTTGTCGGGGCCATATAGTTTTACCCTTATCCGTCATTCCGTCATTCCGCAACGAACAGTTATACGGACTTTTGTTCTAAACGCGTTCACATGTTGAGCCGATTTTTAGTATGTGAGTCTATTATCATGATGAGATACATTGGTTCCGCTCCGCTGAATTTTGCCGAAATTACAGGCCTTAGAGTTTGAAAGTCTCATGAAAATAGCAGTTATACGAACTTTTTTCCTAAACGCGTTCACATGTTGAGCCGATTTTTAGTATGTGAGTCTACTATGATGAGTTACATTGGTTCCGCTCCGCTGAATTTTGGCGAAATTACAGGCCTTAGACTTTGAAAGTCTCATGAAAATAGCAGTTATACGGACTTTTTTTCTAAATGCCTTCACATATTGAGCTGATTTTTAGTATGTGAGTCTACTATGATGAGTTGCAGATCGATTTTACGTGTGGTTCCGCTCTGCTGATTTTTACCAAAACAACGGGCTTTGGACTTTTAAAATTTTGTGAAAATAACAGTTATACGGACTTTTTTTTTCTAAACGCCTTCACATATTGAGCTGTTTTTGAGAATGTGAGTCTACTATGATGAGTTACAGATCCAATTTACGTTTGGTTCCGCTCCATTGATTTTTGCTGAAATTATGGGCTTTGGACTTTGAAAATTTCGCTAAAAAAACAGTTATATGGACTTTTATCCTAAAATTTCCACTCCTAAAAATGGTTTCAAGGTTTTTTGCGAGTGGGGCCATTCGTGTCGTTCTGACACATCTAGTTAATTTAGTGATCCCGTTTTGAAATAAGCTATAATAATGTTAGAACCTCAACATACACACATGAGGATTTCATACTATGAATTTATTATATTATAAGTAAAGATCGAAAGACTTTTTGAAAGCTGGCCTTGTGAAAAATAAATTTAGGGAAATTTGCCCTATCTCATTCATCAACATACACTTGTCTATTTTTCAAAATAGCTTTATTGTATTGTGTGGTCTCATTGAGTCGATCCAACATTTCGTTTGATTCATGATACTTATATGATAAACATAAATGTCATATGTGACACAACACAATTTGTTTAAATTAATTTATTCTAGTTACTATTACTTTGATTTTGTTTAGGTTGACTGTAAAAGTCAGATGGCTTCAAATTTCTAACATCTGTGAAAATACCATTTGAACGAAGAAATAAAAAAGACCTGGAAGGCAGAACTTCATGTGTGGTTGTATAATCAGTCAAATGATCAAACATTATCATGTAGTATTGATGTTTTCTGTCTACAGGATGATCAACTTTCTCAAAAGAAAATATTTTGAAAAGTAGAGAAAATAAATGAATTATTTGCTTCGCATCCAAATTGCCACAAACACAAACTTTATGAAAATATTTTTCACGAGTGACTGTTGAAAATATCACTAAATTACATTGTCATGCAATAAACATCATATCATATTACACGACGGAAAATGGTTCATTGCTTAAAGTAAACTCTAGATTAAGAAGTGAAGTAACATCATTTAATCTAATTTGCAGGTACGTATTATTCTATTCTCAACTTCAGAATTGTCAAGTAGCGTTCTTAGCAAAGAGAGGCGAAAGATACCAATGTGATATTCAAACTCATTAGTCGGAATCACAATGTCATGACAAAAAACGAAAAACGACCAAAAGACAAACAACAGTACACAAACACAGCATAGAAAACCAGAGTCTGAGCAACACAAACCCAACCAAAAACCGGGGTTTTCTCAGTTGCTACGGAAGGATAAGCAGACCCTGCTTCACATGTGGCACACGTCGTGTTGCTCATGTAAGTACAATACAATGCAAGTACAAAACCGGTGATAAGTCTGATTCGGTAGGTCAATTTCGAGGAAAAGAGGACGGGATTGTGGTTATGACAATTTGAACATATATGCATCGTCATCTGTGAAACAGATATCCAATAACGACCAACCAAATCGTGATGGAATTCAATAAATATTGTTATAAAAATCCGACAATCCCAATGAAAAACAAAAACAATACAAACATATAGACAATAATGGGACAAATAAGAATTATCTTAGATAACTTGGCTGGAAACTACGTATACAAAGAGCAAATAATGTGCAAGCATTGAAAAACCCAAATCCTTACAAAAACAATATAGAAAAATGGACTTTTTAATACTAGTACTCTGTTGCAAGTCTAATCATGAGGAGCGAGCTACTTCTCTGTTAAATTATAAATTCCTTTAAAGAGAACAACACATCAATCGTTCAGCGATTTTTCTAATGCTAATTAATGGTCTTTCCGTGAAATTCAATAATATAAACCTATATATGGTTTCTGAGAGTATCTTCAAAAAATTCAATATTTTGCTAAAGCTTTTTAATTTGCGAGAACCGCCTCTTTGGTAAAGGGAGGTCATTGGTTCTTTCCCCAAACAAGTCAAACAAAGACTTAACAAGCGGTATTTGCTGCTTTTCTGCTAAACATGTGGCAACAAGGACTGGTCGGCTCGAAGTCAGAATCATGTGTCCTGGATAGGATTACATGTCTTCCTGAGGACGGTTACCTTATTAATTAACACGTTAAAAATTCGGGTAGTGTGTCAGTCTAGTACAAATCAAGGTTTATATTGATATCGCGTAAACATTTTCTCGTCCTGATATGCAAGTTAT